TGACAAATGTTTTCTGAAAATACCATTGTGAAGTATGATTTTCACTTAAAAAGAAAAAAATTGCCTCCAGTTTTTGGCTATTATGAATAAAGTTGTTTAAAATATCTGTGTATTTATGTACAAATCTTACAAATCTTTGTATGGGCATATATTTTCATTTCTCTAGCGTAAAAATCTATAGTGGAATTATTAAGGGTATGTTTAACCTCATAGGAAATTTCCAGACTCTTTTCCAAAGTGGTGTACCATTTTACACTTGCACCGATAATCAGGTGGACAAGGCGGCAATCCCTTTAGCTGTCAGCCAGCCTCTTTCCATGGCCACATCAGTGTGTTTTCAATAGGCTCATGAAGAAAATGGCCATCCTGCAGGGATGGAGGCTGTGTATGAACTCAGTAACATTAGTGTTTACTCCTGAAGGCTGATTTGGTTACCACTGCTGAATGCCTAACTCGCCAACAGCAGCAACCTATCCTCAACCTCTTCTGTAATATCTCCATTAGTTTTCTATTGCTGCATAAAAATTACCACAAAATTAGCAGTTTACAACAACACACATTTATTATTCCAGAGTTTCTATGGGTCAGGAGTCTGGACATGGCTTAGCTGAGGCCTTTGTATGAGCTCTAGTCGCTTCATAACCTTACCAACGTTTCATTATCAGACTGTAAATTATAGCTTAGGACTGTCCAGTAGAAATACAACGGGAACCATATACGTGATTTTAAATTTCCTAGGAACTACATTAAAAAAGTGAAAATAGTTGAGGTTCATTTTAATAATATATTTTATTTAACCAAATCTATCCAAATATTATTTCAGCATGTAATCAGAATAAAATTATTGAGATATTTTACATTCTTTTTTAATACTAAGTCACCAAAATATGGTATTTTAATCTTACAGCACATCTAATTCAGACTAGTCGTATTTCAAGGGCTTAACAGCCACATGTGGCTAGTGGCTGCTGTATTGGACAACACAGTTACAGACATTTTAGTGGGTATACAGTGGTAACTCATTGTGGTTTAAATTTGCATTCTCCTGATAACTAAATGATGTTGAGTGTGTTTTCATGTACTTACTGGCCATTTGTATAAGGTCTGTTCAAATGTCCAGCAACAGGTGAATGGAGACACAAACTGTGGTATATTCATACAATTTAAAAAGTACTCAGCAATAAAAAGGAATAAACTGATTCATGCAGTAACCTGGATCAATCTCAAAATATTATGCTGAGTAAAGAAAGACAGACACAAAAGAACACAGAAAACGATTCCATTTGTATGAAACTTTAGAACAGGCAAACTAATCAAGAAAGACAGCAGATCAGTGGCTATAGTAGGGGTGTGTGAATGATTGCAATACTGCACAAGAGAACTTTTTGGAGTGACGGAAACATTTTACATCTTGATTGAAGTGATGATTACATAGATATATACATTTGCCAAAATTTATTGACCTGTACATTTTAAATGGGTGTATGTTATTCTATGTAAATTATACTCCAATAGAATTGTTTTAAAGAGTAAAAGCAATACATGTTAGTAGTACCCACTATGTAATTTGCAGACCCAGTGCAAAGGAATACTGTGGGGACCCTTTTTTAAAAAGTATTAAGAATTTCACAACAGTGACAGCAGAGGGAGTTTGTTATCGAATCCCCAGTGACACACATGTGCATAGCATCTAGTAGGTCCCAATAGGTTCATGGAATGAATCTAAGAACTTGGGCCTCTTAGTGCCCAGCAATTTCCATTCGAGAACAGCAGAACACCTCTTCCTACTTCTGTTTGTTCCATAGACCTGAGGAAAGAGTAGAATTCTGAAGACAATTTACAAAAATGCTACTCATAAGTAGAAACAAATACTGATTAAAAGTTTTATTTTTAAATTCTTTGAAGATGTGAAGAAATATATAGCTCAATAACTGAAATGAAGAGAATACAATTTGGTTGAGTGAGTAGATACCATACAGGCATCACGAAGTTTAAAGGAATTTTGTCTGTTAGGTATTCTATAGTGTCAGTTCCAGGCTGACTGATAGTGGCAGTGTTACACCTAGTATGAGTCAGGAAATGAGCTGAAAAATGGGGTTATAGAGATAAAACAGGTACATCTAATTGTGCAATGGTTTGTCTTCTTTATAAATCAATTTTTAGACCATACTCCAATTATCAACATTTCTAAGGACCCTAGATACATATAATCCATATTGCCATAGATGTTTCACTGGGACTTTGTTCTAGCTCTCCTTAACATAACCAGAACTGTTGTAACAGAGGCACTTGGACTTATTTAAATAATGTGTTATGAACTGAATGTATCCCCCTCAATATTCATATGTTGAAGGTCTAATGCCCCAGTGTGGCTGTATTTGGAGTAAGAAAGTAATTAAAGTTAAATGAGATCACAAGGTTGGGGTCCTGATCCAAGAGGATTAGTGTCTTTCCAAGAAGAGACCAGAGAGCTTGCCTGCTCTCTTTGCATGTGCACACACGGAGGAAAGACCACGTGAGAACACAGCGAGGCTGCCATCTACAAGCCACGAAGAGACTTCCCACCAGAAACCAAAACCTGCTGGACCTTCATCCGGCACTTCCTGCCTCCGGAACTCTGAAAACATAAATTTCTGTTGTTTAAGCCACCCAACCTAGGTATTTTGTTATGACAGTCTGAGCTAATACAATATGTAATATTCTATATCACATAAAAATATATATAATATGCATAATTTGATTCAAATAAAGTGACCAGCTTAATCACAGCCACAAGGTGGGCAACAGTGTAACATTATAACAAGATCTATATGTATGTACTTATGGCATGAATGTATGGATCCTAAAAATTTGAGAAATTCACACGGCAAATTTTCCCTAAAGGAAATTTACAGTGTCTACAGTAAATTTACAGTAAAAATTCTACTTTATTCCTTACTGCCCTAAACCAACGGGTATGTATTTTTAAAAAAATTTTTAAAAGGGAAACTGGGGTTTTAAATGGTTAAAAGTATCACTTAAATATAAATATTTAAAATGCCTGTTGGGTGGCTGAGTGTCACTGTGCCTCTCATACTCAAAATTTATTTTAGAAATAAAAGTATTAAGAGACGAGATGACAACACACTAATAATTGAATAAAGTCTACTGAAAAATATGGCCAAAGTTATTGAAAAATCGTACAGAAGCAACAAAATGCTTTCATACTTATTGTTCCATCATAACTCAATGTGAAAAAGATGAAGTGGGATTTTCATGTTTTGGAGCAGGTGGAATGGCAGTTATAATTGTTTCACTTATTGCACTTAAGCCAAAGTCTTCGAAATGAATTAAGCATGGCTAAGAAGTTGGGGAACGGAAATAATAAAGGAAGGATAGCAGGTGATAAATGAGGTGTTAAGAAGAAAGACTAAATTTTGGGGGAAGATAGTGGATTGAAAGAGGATGGTATTAATAGGTATTTTAAAATGATTAAATGTGATATTCTGGGGTGGGGCTACTTGGGGCTTGCTACTTTGAAGGCCTGCTCCTTTGAAGGCTTGCTATTCCAGTTACAAGCTACATAACCTTGGTTAACTTATTTCGCCTAAGCCTCACATTGATTATTGGTAAAATGGGAGAAGTAACAGTAACTATCTTTTATATGTTAATAGGGATGATCAGTGACATAATGCACACTAAGTGTTCAGCACAGTACCTGCAACATAATAAATATAATAAATGTCAGCCATGATATGAATCATGTATTATTGCATCTTTTCAAAAGTAACACTACTAAGGTAATTCTGATTTATGTGAATATGGGTATTTTGAAATAGACTGATGTCTATTTCAAAAACAGAAAGAAATGGGAAAAAAGTCAAATTAATTTTTGTATTTGCTTATTTGCAAAGGCCCTCTTCAGACTCTGACCTGCCTTCTCAGGCTTTTCTTGGCTCAAAGTCTTTGCTCCAAAATTCCTCCAGGGAGTCCAATCTGTGGGATACAGCTGTTTCCCTGATATCCACAGTTACACTATTTGAGGCTACACATCAATGAATTTTCTATCTTGCCTACTTGCAGTTTTTCCCATTTCAGCCCACTGCATCATAGCTGCCAGCACGGCCCACTGTCACACCTTCATTGAGCTTGTCAGATGCATGTGATAAAACTATGGCTCCAGGGCAAGTGTACAGATTCCAGTGTACAGATTCACTCTCATAGGGAAGAAGTTGTACACTGGCATTGTCTTACGAGCCCTCCAAAGTTCTGCTTCTCATTTTAAGAAACTCTGCCTTAAACAATCAAAGACATCTGCCAAAAACATTTGGCTCTGCAAATAGCAAGTAAATTCGTTGCTCCTGCTGTAGTTGGCAAATGACAGCTTGGGAATTAGAACCAGGGAAAGTAAAATAGCTGGTTACTGAGAACTCTGATAAAGATAGGGATCAAAGAAATTTTAGAAAATCCCTAAGCCAAAGAAACACAGATGGGGAACTGTTCTTGAAATGTCCAGGAAATGTGTGTAGGGCTAGCACATAGTAGGTCCTTAGTGAATATTTTATGAATTAAACGTCATGGCACTACCTCTGCCACAGAGACTAAATTATCATTTCTTTTTAGCCTTTACCTGAAATCCTAGAGTATTATGTCATACATAAGTTGATGAAATCAGAAAATGGTATTTCATCTTGCGGCACTGGTTGTTTTGAAGAGTTTTCACATGCAAGCAAGCATTCCTTGTTCAATTTTGAATGATGGTGGGTTTTCTTTACATTAATAATTGAAATTCTGTTAAGGCCATAGAACACAACAGAGACTAGTAAGGGGAAAAAAGACTTTTACAGTTTTGCTTTTAGGTCACCCAGATGTATTAACATTTAGGTTACAGATAAGAGAAAATTCCATATCTATTCTCAAATTTCAGTTAAAAAAATTTTTAAAAAGATTTTAAAGGTCTAACTTTTATTAAGGGTTTAAATTGCTCTAAAAAACATACAAATTCCAAATGCAAGCTCCTATTTCATTTTCAACGACTTTATTGAGAACATTTTGCAAATTAGATTTTACAATTTAACATTTTACAATTAGAAATTTCATCTGCTACTACATAAGTTGCAAACTTTTCAAAACACTACAGAAAATCCTTTATTTCTTTGGATTTTTCTGTTCCATGCTGAGCTCCTGAGATATATTTTTTCTTTCAGCTTCATTTTCATCTTCCTGTGAAATAAATTTTAGAAAACATTAAAATATAAACTTTAGGGCATTTTATCAGCTATACTTAATACCTTTTAACTCTATTTCTCTAAAGAATTAACTATTGTGATTCCAGTAATCTTAGGGAAAAGGCTATAAAATTATGTAACATTTAAATAGGTACAGTGGGGTGCTGTTTTATACTACATGTTGACTGAAATTTTCTATGACATGTTTTTAAAAGCAACTTATTTTATCAATGACCTAAAAATTACTTTTGAAAACACCTGCCACTAAACAGTATCCTTTTTAGGGGATGGATCAGATATTTTTACCTCACTGTTTGATAAAAAACAATAAATTAAACTTCTGAAACACTTTATGTGCTCCAGCATGGCATTTTGGTCTCATCTAGCATGCTTTCTTGACAGGTCTGCCAATTTTCCAATTACTTGCACCACCATATGTTATCTGAAGATCAGTCAGCTCTAAAATAGGAATCAGGGGCATGTCAGGCTATAGAATTCCTAAAATCTTCTACAGTTTCGATTCTAAGTGGTGGCCTCATAATTCACAGCACGCTCCTGTGGAACACGGCGAATAAATGAAGTGACAACATAACATCTGCTTCCATAGAAATGAAGTGCATCTTGTGTTCAATATTAAACGGTGACCTCCAAAGTATGAAATAATGAGAGTCTGGAAAAATATTTCATCTTACAATTTGTAACCCATCTCACCATACATGTTCCTTCAACAATACCTAAGTACAAAGCAGTCTTGCTGTCCTAAGACTTCTGATTTAACAACTAAGATTTTTCATTTTTATTTAAGCATGAGTAGCAATTTCTTAAGTATCTCTAGACAACAGTAATAATATCAGTATCACCAAACATATCATCCTGCATCTCTGTATCTTATAAAACCAAATTCAATTCAATTAATAATTGCTGAGCTCTGCTTAGTAAAGTGACTTTATTAAGAAAATACAGGGCCGGCCCAGTGGCTTGGTGGTTAAGTGTGCGCACTCTGATGCTGGTGGCCCGGGGTTCGGATCCCGGGCGTGCACCGAGGCACCACTTCTCTGTCCATCCTGAGGCCGAGTTCCACATACAGCAACTAGAAGGATGTGCAGCTATGACATACAACTATCTACTGGGGCTTTGGGGGGAAAAATAAATAAATAAATAAAATCTTTAAAAAAAAAAAAAAAAGAAAATACAAACCAAAATTATATATCAAGAGAAACTACACCGTTTCCTATAAACATTATGATGGAGAAAGCTTCCTTGATATACTTTGTCTCTCTCTAAATTCAGCAGCATCTGTGATTTAGACTTTGTCAACACCAGGAAAGCAGAGAAATTATCAATATTATCAACTGACCTGAATTATTATAGGCATGAGAGATACCAGAGATGGAGTTTTGACTATCATTTTGGCAATGTAATTTTAATACATTTTTCTAAGCATAACAGCCACTGTACGTTGTTTAATTTTTTTTCCAATTTATCTCTGCTGAATAGAGATATTATATTTGATTGACTCTTGAAAATCTACTAAGGAACAGGTAGTTTCCACTTTTAGACAAAAGTTTCTAGAGATCACATTCTAATTACATCCTAATGAAAAGCAAATCTTATTCTACACTTTCCACTGTATTCTTCAGGTGAGACACTGACAGAAAGTGTTAAATCAGCAGGTAAAGGTGGCAAGAAATTCTTGTTAGGTAGCAACGATCTGTCCACATGTTCCCCAAGGCAGGGCTTCATCGTATCCAATACTTCTACCATCTACCGGGGCACATTTAGTACAACAGTTGGAGCCCAATAAATGTTTTCTGAACTATGTGAAACAGTGGAGTAAAAAATGAACAAAAGAAAGGTCTGCCTAAATTAATACGTAATTTGGAAAAGCATAATATCTTTCCGTATCCAGTAGTCATACTTCTAGCAATCTCAACCCACTAGAACAGTACTGGAAACAGAAATAAGCGAAAACGTTTGAAGCAACATCAGCCCAAATAGCCATTATCAAGCTCATATCCTTTAACCTGTAGGAGAAGAGTGGAGCCTTCATCATGCGGACAGTCTACGAAGTTCTCACACCAATATGACTTACTGGTTTAAGAAGCTTGGTTATCTAGTCTTCCCTAGCACCCTTCAATGCTGCTCTAAGTTAAAATAGAAATGTAAAAGGCTTAATAATGACCCTGAGGACTAGGAAGTATCTATACACTTTATTTTCCTATTTAACTAACATTCTTAATATAATGCCAGTCTTTTTGTTGTTGAATTTTTCTTAGTAATAAAGTATAGTTTATAAAAGCATGTCTCTTCTAACATTGCTTCCTGTTCAGGACACGTGCAGAACTGTTTCACACTGTTCTTTATGCTAAGGATATGTCTTACAATATTTTGCCTTTAAACCATTTGTATAAGTAACAAGATCCAATCTCTTTCTTCCTCTGTACAAAGATAGCTGCGATCTGGACGTAGAAGAGGATTATGGAGGGGTGGAAAGGGCATTTAACCCTAACTGCTACAGCATAAAAACATCATAATTGCTATAGTATAACATCATCAAAGTAATCAAAATAACAGTAATAGATTTTATCATTATAAATAAAAGCATTACAATTAGATACAATAAAGCTCCAGATAGAATTTCAGAGGTTTTTTTTCTTTTTTGGAAGTGCTAATTTGTGTTTCTAACGTTGCAGGTCAATTTTTATAAGAACTTGCAGTTCAAGACTAATAAAATCACTAAAATAGCTCAGGCAGCATATCAAATATCACTGACAAATGACTGCATAATGACTGAAACTGCAAACAAAGGAAGCTTTTTACTAAAATATTTCTTCACTACCAGATATTAAAGGCAGGCAAAAATTTCTTCTGATAGATGGCAGGTTTTTGTCACTCTTTGCTTAGATAAGACATCTGTTTGTTTCCCAGTGAAAGAAGACCCTTGCTACACGGATCATTTTCTTAGTGACAGCCGTGACAAGTTTGACATTTGTTTCATGAAGTGTTCTGAAGCAGCCAGCAAGAAAATGTACCCTTTGGGGCCACTGGAAAGTAGACAGGTTTACCTCTTAATGTTTAATCTTGTTAATTCATACTCCAGAAAACATGTTGATTATAACCACCTTGAAGATCTGCTACTTACATGTGGAATTTCAAGAATATGCACCCATATAACAATAACACTCATAACGCCAAATAACTCAATGTGGTTCCTTAGCCTTCTTGCTCTTTTTACACTGACATCACCGTAGCGAGGAGAATAATAACTTCTAGGCACACATGGACCATGTAATTATGGTCTGATGCTTCAGGTGGCAACATGAGACTAAAAGAGTTATTCTAACAGAGAAATAAGTAAAAATGCTGCCATTTTTATCTAAACTAAATCCCTCTTACCACTGAATAAAATTTGAAAATTTTGTTTAAATGCTATTCAGCTTGCACCATCAATTTGGAATAGAGGTGCCCTCTATTCTTCCTTATTTACAAATTTGGCTTAGTTCTCATAATAGTTCAAAGATGATTGCAATTAATAAAACCTATCCATCCTGCTTTTCTTTTGTCTTAAGAGGTAACTAACTCCAAACAAAGGCGAATTATCTTAGTAGCTGAATTTCTATCACTCAGGTAATATCTGGACTCAGATTACAGTCTAGGAGTACAGATGATTCTGTATTTACCCTATAGACTGCCAAGTTTTAAATGATTTCTTTTAAAGGTAGGATTATACAAAGGGACAACTTTCCCCATTGTTTATATCTTTAAAGATGACTTTATAAGTACCTTTATCATGGAGAAACCTGTGAAATACCACCTTAACCAATGATCAAGATTAACATCACCAGTAATGCATATTAACATTAACCCTCTGGTATGATACACTAAAAAGGGCACATCAACTCTGGTCCATGGTATCCTTCCCAATAATGCATAATTTCAATTTTACATGAGAAAACACCAGATACACACTCTATAAAATAACTGACAGTAGTCTTCAAAAGTGTCAAGGTCGTGGAAGACAAGATAAAGCTTGGACTATCACAGATTGGAGGAGATTAAGGGGACATGATGACTAAATGCAGTGTGGGATCCTGGACCAAAAAAAGGATGTTAGTGGGAAAACAGGCAAAATTTGAATACGGCCATGGCGTTGTTAGCAGTATTGTCTTGATGTTAATTTCCTGATTTCAGTAATTCACTTTGGTTATAGAAGATGGTACACTACAGGAAGCGGGATGATGGTCAAATAGGAATTATCTGTACTATTTTTCCAACTTTTCTGTAAGTCTAAAATTATTTCAAAATAAAAAGATTAAAAGAATAAAATAAAAATGGCTACTTAATGAAAGTTTTCTAGATTCAAAGTAAGTATGACGTATGGGCAAAGATTTTATGTGGAAAAAAACTCAAGTCACTTGTAGCCCCTAGGATGAAAATACACAGCTAGAATAAATTGTTTGCTTTCCACTGTTCTACTTAAAATTCCTTTCTTAAGTACCTCAAATGTTCATATTGGTGACGTTATTAATTTTATTTTCTTGTCTGTGCTTTCATGTATTTTCTTACTTTTCTACTCTGAACATGGATTACTTCACAATCAGAAAACATAAGCTTTCTTTCTTTTTTTTTTTTGGTGAGGAAGATAGGCCCCGAGCTAACATCTGCCAATCCTCCTCTTTTTTTGCTAAGGAAGACTGTCCCTGGGCTAACATCCATGCCCATCTTCCTCTACTTTACATGGGACGCCGCCACAGCATAGCTTGCCAAGCAGTGCGTCGGTGTGCGCATGGGATTCAAACTGATGAACCCGGGCCGCCGCAGCGGAACGTGCACACTTAACCACTTGCGCCACCGGGCCCGCCCCAACATAAGCTTTCTTTTAATAAGTCCCTTTATAATCTGGCCATTTGAACTATAGCCCGAAATAACTAAGCATAAAGGGGGTCTATGTTTACAAAGAGAATGAGGTCAGTTGTTTTTACTTTACTGAATTTG